GGGGGGGGGGGGGGAGAAAAAGTGCTTATTGTTGGAGTTGGAGGTTAACCTGCTTGAAGCTCTATGAAATTGTCCTCGGGAGGGAGAAAGGCCGAAAGAAGCGGAGCTCTATCCCATGTCCATATGAGTATAGTTGCACAAACAAGCACAAAGAGCATAACAGAGAGATCCCGAGCCCTCCGTTTAAAGGCTCCTCTTTTCATCCTATACACAAGCCATCGAAAGGAGTTGTAACATTTCATTTCAATACTAACAGGAAAACATTATTGTACAACAACAACAACAACACGCCTTAATCCCAAGTATACATAGACAAAGCATGAAATGTCGAACTAATGCCTATTACCACTAATCAAATGTAAAAAAAAAAAGGTCAATCCACAGATCCTGTTAGCTCTGCAGTCAGCACAATCTATTCAGAACAGCTACTTGATCAACCAAGAATTCATTTCACAGTGTACCATTGACTGAACCGGGTAAAGATGGACGAATCATATCCCTTCACCAGTCAAGAAAACATCACTATTACCATCTACGGAACCATGTTTTCACACGAAACATGAACTCAGATCTATCTACTGAACCAAAATGCGACCATTAATTGAGAAAGAAAAAAACGTTTCTGGCTTTCGCTGATGAACTGAATCGAAGGGCGCCTGCTGAAACCATTGTCAGTTTTAGTAATCTCCGACTAGCAAAACCCATCTCTGTTTGAACTATAATTGGTATAAAACCCTACCGATCAATCGATTCGATTATTACAACTTCGATCAATCAATCTACGTTGCCTAATCACAAACTCAACATGTCTGGTTCCAAACCCATCCTCAAACAAACTCAATCGCCTTCTCAGCAGCTCCAATCGAGGAAAATCTCATCCATACCCAAAATTCATAACCGACCCAAGAAAAGAAACAACAGAAACCGTTCCCATGATTGAACAAGATCACTCAAATCAGGATAATTTTCCCGTATAACAAAATCAAACAGTGTGATAAAGGAAAAAACTTGTAGATCAGATCGAAACAGTCAATTGCGCATAGAACGCGATTCAAAAATCGGACAACAAAAAAGTACCTCGAATGTGAAATCACGAAACGATTCTGTCCTTCGCAAAGAAACCGCGGCAACAGAAGAGATTTGGGAACCAGCTTGAACTAGGGTTCCGACGATAGATTCTTCTCTCGCCGCTGCTTTTGGTCGGTGATGAAAATCTAAGTCGCCAGAGAGGCCGTACGGAGAGAGGAGATGTGAAGGGGAAAGGTACGGTCGAGAATGGAATTAATATTTATATTTTTTTAAAAGTTAATTGGTTTTAGTAAGTAATTATAGTTAGATTATTAATAATCAAAATTAATTAATTACACAGAGAAGCTACAACTCAGTGTTTGACCAACTGCAACTAGATCCCCTATAATGGTAATATATGTAATACCGTATATTTTTGTAAAATATATGGAGATAATATAAGGTAAAAAAATTAAGAGAACATGAAAATATGGGTGCACTTGCAAAAGGGGGTAAGATCTAATCACTAAAAATACTAACTTAAATTAGAAACTGTAAATTAAGCAATTTATGTATAGCATATGAAGATTTTCATAAATAAATGAATAGTAATGTGTAAAAGATTCGTTGATTTCTAAAAGTTTGTATCGATATTATAAATTTATATTTATGAATAGTAATGTGAATATAATAAGATGTATAATGAAATATTATATATTTATGAGGATAAATGTAATTTGAAATAAAGAGTTTTGTGACATAACAATGGGATGAACATTCTAAGCCTTAGCAGCGGCTTTTTAAGACAAGTCAACAAAGAGATAGAGTTTTATATAGGATATGTACATGTATATAATATGATATGAAACCATTTTACGATATTATAAACTATAAAATTAATAAATAAATTATATGTACCGGTTGTCTGATTTTGTCTTTCGTAGTCCAAAAAGAAATTACAATGCAATACCAAAACCGATAAAGAACCCTAAAAATTTCCAATCACATCAACATCAATCACAACTCTAAATGCAACATGATCTCAAAACCCTAAAAATCACTATCAAATTTGGACCATAACTCATGCCCCCGAACCATAAAATCGCTCATCTATCGTATGAGGTCCAAATAAAAAACAAAAATAATTAAAAAAACGAATAAAAATTAAATAAATAAATGAAAATTTTTGGTAAGAAAGTTTGAAAACAAAATAATCGAACTTAGTCTGGAATTTTTTTAAATAAAAAATTCGAATAAAGAGATAAAAGAAATTGAAATCCTAAATATCCTAATGGAGAGAATACCTCACAAATGTATTACTAAAAACGAAATTTTTACTGTAACAATTGTTATTTATCTGTTGGTTGTATTTTATAAATTTCATAATCTATGTTTTTTTTTAAATGTAAACGAATCTCTTAAAAAAAATGTGCATTTTCTTCTCGTACGTGACGCGCATGTATAAATACGATGGAGTATTTGGTAACGCCAACAATAAAAATATGGTCCTTAGTCTTTAATACAAACCGACGTTTCAACCAACAAGAGCAAATACCATAACGTTTTCTTATAATCTTAAAATAAAATATTTAGTATAAATTTTATATATATATATATATATAAAAGAATCATCTTATTCTATATATACCGTCTTCGTGTACACACGCATGTAACATTTATAAATCTATATGAGTACAGAGAATCGTATCTAAAATCCGAAAGATGCCAATTAAAATTTTAAAATTGTAGTTAATTTTCAGTTAAAACCACGAAAATTATATTATCATTATCTTATAAATTTAGGGTTTGAAGTTTAGAACGGTATATTTTGATATTATCATCGTGGTCAACAATTGTTACTGACATTGTTTATACAAAACTATATATATGTATACATATATATATAATATTATATAATGGAGTCGGGGGAAAGGGATAAGTAGGTGTTCTTATTGGAAAAAAAGACGAAGAAGAAGAAGAAACGGGGAAGACAAGAGTAACTATCATTCATGTTCCAATGTCCCACGCACCACTAGAAGACAAAAAATGACAGCTGTACAATATAAGTTGGTCCGCTTTTATGATACGTCCACAACTTGAGATCTCACTCGTATTATATTGATGGATCATATGTTTTCGTACCACATGCGTGAAATAATTGAAAACCTTTTTTCTATTGTTTTAATATATACATTGACGGACATTTTTTTTATATGATATAATTTTTGCCTCCTGTTATTTTCGGGTTCAATTTTTCTGATTTTATTATAATTATATTTGTTGGATTTACATATTAATTGTCGATCGATTCCATTTCGATATTAAATTTTTTAAAAGTATTTTCATTTTCTTTTGAATTTTTTTATTACCTTATATTTAATTCATATTCATTTGATTTACTTTTACAAAAAATAGTAAATTTCGTATCAAATCCGATTCATTATGTGTTATCTAGTTCGGTTTGTTTTGATTTTATATATCCAATTGATATTGATATATATATATATATATATGTATGGGGAAATATTAAAGAGGAAACATGGATCAAAATGTTGCTCTCATATGAAGGAAGTTGGAGAACGGAACTGTATCGATATGATGTATACAGTTAGGTCTTCTTATTAGTATCGACTTACCATATATTAATCATATATGGAAAAATAATAATCAGATAATTAATTAATCAATACCCTTTTTTCATATATTGAATTCAGTTCAATTCTGTGAAGTGGGTTTCTATTTTGGTTCGTATTTATTCCCTTTTGCTCGTTATTTGTTGTCCCTTGACATATCCAAATTAACTACACCAATTTTATTTTACGTAAATACTAAATTTGTATCCGTATTTATTCATATCACACAATTGATGCAGACGATTAAAATGTTGTTAAATATGATTGTTGTACAAATCTCATAAATATATAAATATTGCCGTTAAATACACGTAGATAAAACTATTACATCAGATAAAATTGTATAAATGATAAATAAAAAAATAAATTATTTGATATTGAAATTATTGGGTATATATACCTAATGCGAATCAAACTCTAGACCTAACAATTTTCTTCTCTTTAATAATTAACACAGATAGATATATATATATATATATATATATATATATATATATATATGATAACTTTCAATCGGGTTTTATTTGTATAACAGTTAGATCAAAAATCTATTTTAGTTCTTTAGATCAATCTTTTACCATTTAGTGCGCTGACCTAAAGCTAAAGGTTAGGAAGATTAACGTGAATGTTCAAAGTTTAATGGGGCCGATTCATAATTGAACATCATTCATGACAACTTGTGGTATATAATTTATTTATTTATTTTAACGGTGGTCAAATATCGTATTATCGTATATATAGAATCGATTTCAGATCTTATAACAGTCCTTCAACCTGAAAACATTTATCGTTATACCATCACCATTCGAATTAAACCTAATTTCTTTTCATTTCATAAATTTGACATAATAAACTACAATTTTTAGGGTCATTTTGAAGAAATATTTAAGAGAGTTCAATATATTGGTAGAGGAAACCCCACATATATAACAAATATGAAAAAAAAAAAAGGTGAAAAGGCATGGATCGAAATGTAGAGATTGGAAGGGAAACGAAATCAAACACGACATCGAGGGATTGTGAATATTATTTTGCCAAGGATATGTCATTTTCAGAGCACAAAATAGCACGTTCCCCTTTGTTTTCATGCCCCGTGACAGTGGCTCTTTATTTTCTATTTATTTCTTTTTTTATTTTATACGGTCAATTTACAATATATATGTCTTTAATGCTTAGAACCCAACGGAAAGTATGTAATTAAAAAAATTAATATCCAATTTTTTTTTATAAAATATGAAATATTGCAAAAAGTAACAGAGCTATACACTGTTAAAAAAAAAATTCTTTGCAGAAATATGACTGCAAAAACACAACATGGCAAACGACCTATAGTGAGTGATTAGAGACCATAACCTTGGTTATATTAAGAGTTTAATTTCTAATTACTTCGGGAAAAAATGAAAAATATAGAATGGTGTTTTCACGATAGCCTTAAATTATTCTTCGTGAATAAAATAGTACTGCTTATTCATCTGATTTGATTAAATTATCTAACTTAATTAAAGTGTTAATTCGTACTGTTATTGAAATTAATCCTACATTAGAGTGATCAACAAATAAGCCGTGGAATTATGTAAGATATATTTACTTTCTTTTTATATAAAAACTATTTCAGAGTTTATATAATAAAAATAAAAATAAAAATCCCATAATTGTATAAAAAAAGCACTGTGTTTGTGTCGTAACAAAAAAAAAAAAGGAAAGCGTTAAAACCGCTAATCACGTTGCATGGTCGGAATATAATTTGATGGAGCAAATACTACGTTAACATTGTCCATGCAAACGCTGTGTGTTGCCAACATTTTCTTGTGCTGTCTGTTGGTGAATGAATAAAATACTGTTTTTGTGTATATACATCGATATTGAAAATGTGGAAATTAATTATAAATAAAAAGAGAACAATGTAAAAAACTAATAAAATATTATCAATTTTGGATATATAATATATATAGGCTCCGATTGAACTTGAACTTTTCATCGATCGACAAGCTTACCGATACGCTAATGGAAGATTGAAAATTAGGGTTTGGTGAATGAAGGGCAAATTATTGTCATGGGGCTGATTTCGTTTATTCTTGCGTTGGTCCCTCCCTGCCTTCGGGACCAAACACAAACTGTTATGGTTCGAATGGGTCACTTTCAATTTCATAATAAAATTTTCTACATCCAAATTAATAAATTGTACTATATAATTTATTTGCCTTTATGACTTGGTTTGACTCATTTATAAGATGATGGCACATCCAACTTGTTCATTCTAGATTTGAAATATATTGTTTATTACATTCTAGATGTGGCAGAACACATCACAAAACTCTAACTAAAACTATATATATATTATACCAAGTTTAAAGTATAGGGTTTTTAGTATAAGATAGTTTATGGTTTTTTAATTTATTACTGAAACTAATTATCTAAAATTTAGTTTATTCATTATTTATTAATGTCATTAAAAAACAAAAAAACATCAACTATGTAATTTATTAAAAACAATCTTCATTTTAAAATTATTATAAAATATCATTAAATATTAGTTTTTATAAAAAAAAATCATCAACTACTTAAATTACTAAAAAACTATTTTATTTTAAATTTATTATAAACATATAAAATTTTGAAAAAAAATCATCAAATATCTAACTAGTTACTCAAATAAAACTTATATTTTAATTGGTCGATTTATACAAGATTATATCTAAAAATCCATATTTTTAGTTTACTTTAAAAATATATATTATCTTTTGCATAATTAATTTATATGTAAATTATACAATTTTTATAAAAATCAAATTGATAGTTCACAGTATTTGAAATATATATTGATATATGATAAATTTAAATATAATATTCGTAATCAATCAAATATATTTAATTTTAAATATAATATTTGTATTTAAATTTGTTATGTAAAGGATGATGTATGTAATTATTCATACAAATTTTAAATATCATAAAATGATATATATATATATATATAAGTTTTTAGTGTAAATTTTAGAATAGTATAATTTATATATGTTTTTTATAAAAAATTTATAGATTTTTATAATAAAGGTCTCGGGAAGAGCTATTATATTTAAAATATATTTTTTTAATAATTTAGATAGTTATTGATTTTTTTTATTAAAATTAATAGTTGATTATTAATTTTTTTAAAATAAATTATAGAATTAATAAGTAGTTGATTTTTTATAATAATTTTAAATATAAGATTTTGATATAAATAAAATAGTTGATAGATTTTGTTGGATTTATCTCTACTTTCAATAGAACTACAAATACTAGATCGTCTTTCAATTTAAATTCAATTGATATTTCCAATATATATCTAAACTTCTCTAATTGTCTTAGTTTATAAACAAATATTATATATATAATACATAGATAAATATGTACATGTTTATCCTTTCCCCTTATATTTTTGAAACGAAAAAAGTAAATTATGTGATATCGACACAAAGTTCCACAACCAACTTATTATTATTTATTTACACACACGAAAAAAGTAAATTATGTATATACATATTACTCTAGTTTAACAATTTATATATATTTTTTAATAATTATCCATCCACACCCACATGCTAAAAATTTAGAAACAAACAAAAAGGTTCTTCGACATTATCTCTCTCCCACATGAATCCAAATCTATCTCCAACCTCACATTTGTTAGACCTCTACTTACAATTAAACACTCTCATATACACTTTTAATTTTATTTCTCTCGGATATATTCATGTGTTTAATACATATATATATACACACACACACATAGATATCTCTCTGACAAAACCTTAATAGCCAGAGAGACCATAAGCGAAACCATCTCTTCTCTTTGCTCTCTCTCTCTCTACGCAGCAATGGTGACCGACACACAATCAAGAACGACGCAGTCTGCGGCAGTGGAGGTGGTCACGTGCGACACGTGCGGATTTACGGAGGAGTGTACTGTTCCGTACATCCGGCGTGTCCGCGACCACCACAACGGCAAGTGGCTATGCGGTCTCTGTGCGGAGGCCGTCAAGGACGAGGTTGTCCGATCGCCGATGAGAATCTCCGTAGACGAAGCTGTTAGACGTCACTCCTCCTTCTTCCACAGCTTCCGGCACGGCGGCGCCATCGAAAAAGATCCGATCTCTGCCATGGGACGAATTCTCCGGCGATGCCTCGAAGGGTCCATCAGAACCTCCGCGAGGACGAACTCGACCAGTTCCTTGCCGGAAATCTCCGCCGTGGATTCTCCGGCAGGGGAATCGTCGCCGTCGCTCCTCCGGTCTGGGAGCTGCTTCTCCTCTCTGTCCACTAGATGACTTTTCTGTTAGTTTTTTTTGGGTTTAATCGTCAATTATTTTTGTTAATTAGATTACCATTTAGAAGAAGGTGTGGGATCCGAGGAAGTGTTCCTATGACGTTCGCTACCCTTTTTCTAGTATTGAAAATTAATTGCAATGGGTTCGTGAAAAAGGGTCACTGTGTTTTTTTTTAGCGTTTAATAATTATTGAAATTAATCAATGTCGTATTATTTTCGCTTTATAATAAAATTCCCTACATGGACCACTTGTAGTACAATATATACATAGTACGGTGACTAGAGGTAGACTCATATCGGATATCGAATTGTTTTCCGTACTCGATCTCAATCTCGTCTTCTCGGGTTCAATGGCATCATCCGGTCTCGGTCTCGGGGTCAGAATGCAGTGAAGTTGTGAGAGGAGGCAACTCGAGGGGAAGAGACTCGGCCGAGAGAGCGGGCCGTGAGACTCGCGAACATATCGAAAGAGAGAGTTAAAAAGAGAAGAGACCGAGAAGATATATAGAGATTCAAAGACGTATTTGGTGCAACGAACGAAATCGCGAATCTCCATCCTTCAACTCAAAACCCTAAATCTAGTTTTTTTTTATAAATAAATTGGACAAAAAAAAATAACCTTGAAATATAATCGCACCGCACATTTTGTCGCGCGTTTATATGTCGCCTCCTTTCCGTGTCTTGTCCTCACGTACCTCCCGACCTCGTAGTCTCGTCGCATCCTCACCCTCTCCCCTTGGCTCGAAAAATGATTGTGTAATACATATAATTATTAGAGATATATACAAATCTCTTATATTTTATCTTATTGTATAGATAAACTCGAATTTGAATATATATATATATATAATATTAATGTATTTTTTCAAAAAGTTTGGGATTTTTTACGAGACTATAAGTGTATGTTCGAATTTCAGTTAAGCATACGTGCTATAATGCAACTTCTGTTTTCTTAAAAAACAAAATAAATATTTATTAAATATTAAACTCTAGTTTTTTTTTTATTTCATATTTTTTATGAGCTTTTTAATAAAAAAAATTGATTTTTTTATATTTTAAAAAATTAAAGCTATTCAAATGTTAGAAACACAAATCGGCACAAAATAGGTTGAGTATGATTGGGTAGTCTTTTCAAGTTGTTGAGTAATGGGGACATTCTACAATCAAATGATTGGTTCTTTGAATTCATCGACATGATTATATGAATTGAATTTAAATAAATCTTAAAATTGGATGTTTGATACTTTTTCCCAGGCATAATTATTCGGGCTTTTTTATTATTAATTTGTATACAACGAAACATATATATATGAATTTATTTTCCTTGATCTTTTTAATTCTTCTTCTTCTTATATTAACCTTGATCTGATTGTGACCTTATAAAACAGCTTTAATCCCACTTGATATTCACGTATTGCTTAATTTCCATTATTTTAATATTCAATCAATTTCTAATTCCTCTAAATATTATTATACATACATATTAGATTCGATTTCGCAGACCAAAAATAATTTTATTCTGTTCTTTTATAATTCGTAACGTGAATTGTAAACGCAGTAGGAATGTATACATATATATATATATATATATATCATAAATTCCTCGAGAACGGGTTTTCCATTTTAGGCGAAACCAATGACAAAAAGGAATGGTCCGACTTTTCTTCTCCGTCATATAAAGTAACTTGTTTCGATTGAAATTTATATTCGTCCCATTCAAATTATTTTTTAAAATAAAAATATTATGCGAATATAATCTGTCTACCATATGAATAACTGATATTTGCTAATTTAATCCATGTTTTAGTCATCAAAATATTTAATTAAAAATCAAGATATATAATATACAGGGGTAATAACAAATCAGGTTGTATATATATTCGAATTAATATAACATTTGTAATAATTAATAAGGTTTTGGTTCATAATTAGTCCGACTGTGTAACTAAAACAAAACACTATATAAATATGTCACAAATAAATCAATAAAATTCCATCTATGTAATATTTTGATCTTTAACTTAAACAAAAATATTAAACCGTATAATTTTAAAACTTTTTTTTTTATAACGTAGGATCCCTAGCTACTATCATTCGGGCGCGCTGACTAGGTAAACCTCCGATCCGGGAACAACCTTTGTATATGGATCATATAAACCCAGAAATTACCTCCCTCCCCACCAAACAGGAATCGAACATTCAACCTCAAGATGTAGTTACCTCCTACCTCAAACTTGATCACTCGTTCACGATCTGTTGGGTAGTATAATTTTAAAACTTTACTATGCCCCCACTGTTTTGGTTTATAATTTAAAGTACTTACATCAGAATAATAATGCTAAATAATTTTAGAAAATTTATAAAAATTCAAAAGTTGTGGGTCACAAATGTGAGAGAGCCAATTATATAGGTTATGACAGATCATCAATATATATATATATATGTATACGATAGATCTAGAATAATAAAAAATATATATCTGTGTAATCAAGTACGTACTACTTAATTAAATTAGTTCTTACAAATTAATATTAATTTAATATATATAAACCTAAGAAGATCAGATTAGTGCTATTTATTTTTATCTTATTAATAAGCATATATATATATATATATAGAAACGAGTAAGTATGCGTATGTATGGGGCATGGAGATGAAGCAAGTTGGCTTTGTCACAGGACACAAGCACGAGTGGTACGTTACGTTTTCACATCACTTCCGGATATTATATGTCTTCGTTTCATGTGGGGCCCTTTCCCTTTGTCCGCCCACTTGTCCTCTGTTTCCATTTCCATCTTTTTTCATTTATTTATTTATTTATTTGAAAAAAATAGTCTTCTGCTGTTTTCGAAATTTTATCCACGAGATCAAAACGAAATATAATTTATCCATTTAGAAGAATCATGACATCGATTATATTATATGTTAATTTATATCCTTCATATATGAGTTAAAAGACTGATAAAAAGAAACAGAAACAATCTTAAAGTTTATTATTTTTCATAAAATTAAAAAAACAATTAAAGTTTATATTTGTAGAAAACTATTTTAATACTACTTTCAAAATTTACCTCTTGAAAAAAGAAGAAATATACGTAGAATTAATTCCAACCAAATCAGTCCAAACCGCTACAAATTCATTAATTTTGAATTAAAATCAGACCAACCCTTTTTATGAAACAAAACTTAAAAATCCTAAACAAAATCACAAAAAAAAAGCAACCCATTCCATTGTATGTATAACAAAAAGCCCAGTGGGCCGTAATATAATAAAGCCCATTAATAGGAATTGTCATTTCCAAGGCATATCTTCTTCTCTTTTGCAGTCTTCTCTCAGCGATCAGTTCAAAACCAATCGACGATCGAACCCAGAGAAAAAATTCGTCGAAGATGATAAAGATGACCTTCTAGTGGGACAAGAAAGTGATCATTCTCTTCGATTTCTGGAGTGCAGATTCATGGCTCAGTTACTTCATCACCTTGCTTGCTTGCTTCCTCTTCTCCGTTGCCGACTCCTCTCCCTCTCCTTCTTCCGCCATCATCCGCCGTATTCCGTTGTCGGAACTCCTCTGATCCCTAAATCCTCTGATTCAGTCGCCAGATCCGTCGTCAGGACCGCGTCGGCGATGCATTTCGGCGTCAACGCCGCGATCGGGTATTTGCTTATGCTCACGGTGATGTCCTTCAACGCCGGCGTTTTCGTTGCGGTTCTCCTTCAGATCCACCGGCGATTTAGCTTCTCCGGTGATCGACGCCGTGGATCCGCCGCGGTGCCTCGTGCGGTCAAGTAGTTTTTGAAATCATCAGGTTTGGGCTACTTCCTTATTCAGCCGTCTCCTTGTATATGTATGTGTGTATATGTAGCGGTGTCTGTATAGTCTGAACAAGTTTCCATTATGATTTTTGAAAATCAATAGATTTAGGTTACTGTTTTAGTTAATAAATTTCTTAGATTTTTACAATAGATTTTCGATCGCAGATACGTATACTCGTCGGTATACTTGCATATAATACGTACATTTTTCATTTTCTGTTGTATACAAAATTTACTTTCTAAAACAAATATATGAAATTCAATGCAAATATTGCATGTTACGATACGAATACAAGGATCGTATATAAACACAAGGGTACGAAAAACCATGCAAAATATATGAAAAATAATATATATGGGAATATTAAATAAAATCTAAAAAAAGCATAATGTTATGTGACAATGGATTTCAATAAAATGTTTATACAAATTAATGCGATATGTTAATATATAGTAAGAAGTAAGTGAATCCACGTTTTTAAAGAATTAATACAAGTTTATGGTACTATATTTTGCTAACATCCAAAAATCAACCAAAAAAAAAAAAAATTGGTACGAATCGCAAGCTAATTGAGAGTTCACAACAAAGGTTTTTTTTTTCCAGAAAAAATACAAATAGATATATTATAAATTTATAATTATAATGATAATGGGTGTCATATATAGATATGAAGGATTATCAAAAGGAAATATATAGAGATTAATGGTTTACCTAAGAGTGGATGTTTCCATCTCATTTCTTAAGTTTTTGTTTATAATTTATGTAGGAACAATTAAAATTTATAATTTGAAGAAAACTATTTGAATAATATTTTCAAGATTTGAAAAAAGAATAAATATGTACGTTGAATCAAATCCAACAAATCAGTCCAAACCACCTCAAATTCATTAGCTTTGAATTAAAATCATACCGATTCTTTTTATGAAACAGAACTTACATCACATACAATTCAATTCGAATTTTAAATTTAAGGAGAGAACGTACAATTCAATTCAAATACATGGCTGAATTCCACTCCACATGATATCCAATAAAAAAAAAGGGCTAACAAAATAAATAAATAAATAAATAAATATCAATCCACGTATATATAACAAAAAAGAAGCCCATTGGGCCGTAATATTAGACAATTAAACTGCAATATAAGCCCATAAAGAGGCCTGCTTCTCATTTCGAAGACCCCTTCTTCTCTTTGACCAAAAAAAAAAAACAATTCAAAGTCGTCTTCTCTTGCCGATAAAAAAACTGAGACGATCGGACCAGAGATTTTTTTTTTCTGGACCAGAGAAAATTTCGTCGAAGAAGATGGATATTATCTTCTACTTGGGCGAGAAATTGTCCATTCTCTCCGATTCATGGCTCAGTTACTTTCTCACCCTGCTTGCTTGCTTCCTCTTCTACGCTTTCTTCAAATACATGGAGGATCACCGTCGCCGTATCCATCGTCAGGACCGTGTCGACGACGAATTTCGGCATCGACACGGCGATTGGGTAGGTGGTGATACTCGAGGTGATGTCCTTCAACGCCATCAGGACCGTGTTCTCGACGAATTTGAGCGTCAACCCGGCGATCGGGTAGGTGGTGATGACGTCATTCAACGTTGGTTCCATCGTCAGGACCGTATCGACAACGCTTTCCGGCGTCACCACGACGATCGGGTACTTGATGATGCTCGAGGTGATGTCTTTCAACGCCATATCCATCGTCAGGACCGTGTTGACTACGAATTTCGGCCTCGATACGGCGATTGGGTAGGTGGTCATGCTCGAGGTGATGTCCTTCAACGTCGTCAGGACCGTGTTGTTGGCGAATTTTGGCGTCAACGCGGCGATCGAGTAGGTGGTGATGTCCTTCAACGTCGGTTCCATCGCCAGGACCGTATCGACAACGCTTTCCGGCGTCACCGCGGCAATCGTGTAGGTGCCGATGGCTTCGGTGACGCACGGCGGATCCATCGTCAGGACCGTGTCAACGATGCATTCCAGTGGCAAGGCGGCGATCGGGTAGGTGCTGATGTCCTTCAACGCCAGGTCCATCGCCAGGACCGTGTCAAGGAAGCATTTATGCTTCAACCCCTCAATCGGGTAGTTGCTGATAACCATCGTCGGGACCAAATCCATGATCGGGTACTTGCTGATGCTCGAGGCTATGTGCTTCAACGCCAGATCCATCCTCCGGCCCGTGTCGACGACGCATTTCTGCGTCAACTCCGCTATCGGGCACATGCCGAAGCCCGCGTCGACGGCCGGCTACTTAAAGTTGAGATCGGAATGCGATTCATCTTAATGGTTGATCAACTCGGTGGATCCGCCACGATGACTGGTGCAGCGGTCAAGTAGTTTTTGAAATCTATCAGGTTCGGGACCCTTGATTGTTCAGTCTTTGTACATGCATACGTGTGTATGTATATATATATATATATATAGCGGCGTCAGCTTATAGTCGTCTCCTTGTATCTGAACCAGTTTTCGTTATGGTTTCTGGAAATCTTTACTATTAGTGTAAACATTTCTAATGAGTACGAGAAATCCATGCGATGTAGGAAAGAAAATAAAATCTAAAACAACAAAATGTATTCTATTAATATGGATTTTAGTTACAAAGCAAATTCAACCGGTAAAAAAAAGGGAATAAAGCTTTTTTCCAAATCCCAATTCTGACTCTTGGAGAATGCCATTCAGTTAAGACTGACGAGAGATATAATCAGATAAAAAATCTAGCGAATTTTTAGATTATTATAAAAAAATATAGATTTTAGTTCAAAAATTTAGATTACTAAATTTTTTTTGTTTACCAATCCAGAATGAGATTTGCAAAGAAAGATGTGATGATTGACTTCAATAAATGTTTATGTAAATTAATGCCACATGTTAATGTATGGTAAGAAGCAAGTGAATCTACCTTTTTAAAGAACTAATACAAAGCTTATGGTATTATATTTTTCAACCATCCAAAAATCGGTACAAATCGCAAACTCATTGAGAGTTCACAACAAAAGTTGTTTTTTTTTTCAGAAAAAATTACAAATAGATGTATTATAAATTTTCCTAAATGTTATAATTTATCGTACGTTTTTGTTCATAGGCCGTTTAGCCCATTGGGCCGAACATTAAGCCCACAAAAGGTTATCCATTTCAGTATACGTATACATATATGCCGTAGACAACCGTAGAGAGAGAAATCTTCTCATCCCGAACTTTCGATCTTCTTCTTTCGGTGCTCATCGTCTCCTCTCTCATCGACAGGCAAAAAACGAAACCCTAGCGAAGATGATGCACATGACCTTCTACTGGGGCAAGAAAGTGACCCTTCTCTTCGATTTCTGGAGGACGGATTCATGGCTCAGCTACTTCCTCACCTTGCTCGCTTGCTTCCTCTTCTCCGCCTTCTACCAATACATGGAGGATCGCCGTCTCCGATTCAAGTCCCTCGCTGCCTATCGCCCTCCGCCGTCCTCCTCGACAGCTCCTCTCATCCCCAAACCCGCCGGATCCGGGCCCAGATCCACCGCTAGGGCGGCGTCGACGCTGCTCTTCGGCGTCAACGCCGCGATCGGGTACATGCTGATGCTCGCGGTGATGTCCTTCAACGGCGGCGTTTTCATCGCGGTGGTCGTTGGGTTGACCGTCGGATACCTCGTGTTCAGGTCCGGCGATGACGGCGGCGATGCGGCGGCGGAGAATCCATGCGCTTGTGCTTGATCCTTTCTCCGGTGGAAAGCCCTAGAGGTATGTCGATGCTTGCGATTCAGGATACGGGTTGTGATGTGAAATCGAGTATGGATCTGAGGATGTTTGTGAAGTCTTGTGTGATAAATCTTCTCTGTTCGTTTGAACTCCACGAATACCTGAAATCTGTGTAGTGTGAAATGATCGAATCTAAATAAACCAACGATTATCCAATGCAGAAACATATATTATAGTTTCCGAATTCTCCTGATTGATTGATAAAACTCCCAAAAAAGTATTGTTAGATTGATTTGTTCATGAGTATAGGTACAAATGCCACAATATGTTGATTTAAATTCCAAAGAATTATGGAGCTTTTTTCATGTTTGGATAAATGTATTCATTTTCACAATGTGTTTTTCGCCAATTCAGCAGCACATTGATCTCTTGCTTGAGCATGTTCGCTTGATCACGACATTAGTTGTCTTTTTTCGAAGTCTTCACATTTCCAAAGCTTTTGGAGCTTATCCAAATGGGGATTTTGTTATGTTACTACGACCTTAGGTCTAATGGCTTTCTCGGAGTTAATCTATAGGGATGCATTTTCGGGTTATATTCCTTCCGTGTGCTAGTTTTAGTCGAGGATTTCTACAATGTGACCCATTATGTTAAAAACTCGTGTTTTCTGTAGTCGGATACATAGCTAGATTACCCCAGAAAAAACCTCGGCTAGGGTTCTTGAAGGTTTGGAATGTCGTCGAAAAACGAATTTGGACTTTGGTTTCCGAGGTTTTCTAGAGATTGAATGATGTTTTCTTCGCTCTTTTGTCGGGGTAGAGGAAATTCAACAAAAGGGCATTGCTTTCTCGATAGCGCTTTCTCGGGCGAGATCTTCTCGCGGCTCGGGTCTTGAAGAATCATCCGACATCTTCAGCAGTGGAAACTCTACGAATGTTGGTTTTGTTTGCTTGATAAGTTGCTTAGAAGATTAGGTTGTATGATATCCAACTAGTTTGCTCCCTTGGAATAAATTTCACGCTATGTATTAATAACTCTTTATTTACGCATTTTATTTGAATTGAACCGTATCATTCAAATTTTAAAGAAACAGATATTATTATATGAAGTGAAATTATATCAGCAGCTTGTGGATTCACCATGGATAAACGTAAAGATGGTTCTTGAATAAAACTAGCCCTTGGAAAATCTAACTGTAAATTGAGTAGCGATCGATGATTTTATAAATATGGATAAAAACTATAGATGTATTTTTAATTAATTTTTTTTTACATTCACCCGTTGTTCGTCCATGGTACAACCCAAATCCAAAACCCGATATTTGAATAACGTTCCTTGCCAGATCCGATCTCAATCTGACATCGTCAGAATATTCACCCGTGACTTGGAGTGGTCTGGTCCTTTATTGATTTGGACAAATAAGTTAATTTGTAAGCTTGAAATCATTTTAGAGAGCTTGTTTTTGTTTTGAGGAAGTTTTGTAAAATATATTTAAAGAAAAATCGTATATAAATATTTGAATTTTTACAAAAATCCCATATAAATATCTGTATTATAAAATTTTTATATAAATATTTGAATTTTTCTAAAATCCTATATAAATATCTAGACTTCTAAAAAACTCCCAAATAAATCCAAAATAAATCCAAAATATGTTAATAATATCATCTATTTTATTTGAAAAATATATAAAATTTGTATTTATTTGAATTTTTTTTAAAATCTAGGTATTTATATAGAATTTTTAAAAGTTTAGCATGGAAGTTTTATAGTTCAGGTATTTATATGAGATTTTTGTAAAAGTTCAGGTATTTATATGTTATTTTTTCTGTATTTAAATATTTGTATTTAAATATTTGAATTTGTATAAGTATAACGTTTGAAATTTATTGAATTACGGAAAGGGAAATTTGTTATTGCATTTAGAAGAATATAGAAAAATTGAGAGGAGAGGCCATTTTGATAAGGGCTGTGTGAATTTGCTTGTGGGGCAAAATGCCATCAACCATATCGTAGTAGTCATTGAGCGATGTGACCTTTCTAAAAAAATGGAATAAATCCCTTTTATAAACCTAAATTTTAAATCCAACCCTTTGGAGTTTTGACATTACTTGAATTAAAATTAAATCCAATATTATTTTAATTATCTTTAATTAATAAAAACATGTGATTCTACTACTTGTGCTTAAACCTTGAACAGAACATCGCATTCATTGTTTTGTAACTTGAGGAGTACTACTGTTGGATGCGATCTGGTAATTTCAGAATTCACGAAAAACAAAGGGACAAATAAATATATGCGGGTTTTAAAAAATATATAATCTCATGATTGAAATAATATTTTTTTATGAATAAAAATTTAATAACACTTAGAAAATGGGCAGATGTCACGTGCGCTTACCAACTGCTGCGCTCCCTTCCACTATAATATAATATTCTTTTTGTCGTTAAAAATTCTAACTGTTATAAAATTGTATTAAATCAATTAACCAAATTACATGTTTGCTACAAAAAAATAAAAAATTAAATAAACAAAGACAAAACATAACTTAAATCTGGAAACTGGAAAGTTCATCTCTATCTATGTGATTCCGTTATCAATAATTCCGGATTATACATGGAATCCCAAATCCGTAGATTAACAAGAAAAAAGTGTTTTCCTTCCAAAGAGACAAATTTTGATGTTACCACAATTAGTGATATCATTACTTTTGATATTACCATAATCTCCTCCTCTAATAATAATAACTCGTTTATTTATTTAGTATATATGTATATATATATATATTTTAAAGAGGCATAGCCTTCAGGGAAAGGGGAAGGTTAGTAATTATCCTTGTCAGAGCTTATAATTACTGCTTCTGCCACACACTTTTCCGTATTACACTCTTACCTCCCTCTATCTCTCTCTCGCGGCTTCTTCTTCGCCTTTTTTTTTGGGAGGAAACATTCTCATGGAGTTCTCCACGACTGCATGTTTCGTTTGATTTGAAGTGATTTCTCATTTGGGTAGTTTAGTTTCTGCTCGGCTTTTTCACCGGAGATGAGCTCTCTGGAGAAAAGGGCTGCCGTTGTTCCTCCTCGCGGTGGCGGTGGCACGGCGGTTGCTCCGCGGACCATTCCTCCGCCGCGGCCGAGGTCTCCGCCGGCGTACCCGGACTTGTACGGAAGACGCAGAGAGGCTGCGAGGGTTCAGATGCTCGAGAGAGAGATTGGTTTTCTCGAGGCAAGTTAATTTTTTTTTAATTGAAGAAATACAGAATCTCAGTTTCCATCATGTTTTGTCTTTTTACCCATTTTGAGTAAAGATGAAGAGAGTATCTAAAATTTGAACTTAAGTTGGTGTTTCAGAACTAGCATGATAATTAATTAGTTTAACCACTTTTTCACTATTAATTTTAATAATTAAATCAATCTTGTAACAATTAATGAAATTATTTTCAACAAAATTGGCTTAAAGAATGTTGTTTTTTCTTCCGTTAAATAACTTTGGTCTACACCCATCGTTGCACTCAGAATCAGTGACCTCTCATATTAAAAGAAATAGAAAATAATTTTGAGTGTTTGAATATTTTCCAAATTGGATTCAGACATGTTGTGAAGTAGATGGATCCAGTGATCTCTTGTGATTTCAGATTGGAAGTGTCAGAATCTCAACAGACAGAGAACTCCCCCACCACGGGGACTCCTTGTGTTGGGTTTTATGATTCATGAGTTAATTGGGTCATCATGCTTTTTTTTTTCTTCCTTGGATGCTTATTCCACCATGTTACTAAGCTTGTTCGAAAAATCCCGCAAGAGATGAAAAAAGATTGAAACTTTACAAAATATGAACTTATAAGGACCTCGGCCTTTCAGAAAGAAAGACATTGCTTTGGTTGCTTTTCAACCCTAAGTTATGGTCCTAAAGCATCATATGTTGAAAAGTTTCAGTTTTTTAATCTCAATTTTTTACTGAAGTTGATGTTTGTTATGTCACTTTCCCTAGTGATCTTCAAAGTCTTTGAAAGTGGAACCCTAATTTGTTCCTTGTGAGACGATTGATTAATGCCCATTTACTCTGTTTCTGCTTTGTGTATAAATGTACTCATGGTTGTGAGTGTATAGCCAAAGTGAGTGTAAAGGAACAAAGAAAGAAACAGAGGAGATGCATAGAAAATAAGTTGATGAATCAAGATCCCACAAAGATATTTTTGTTTTATAATTCAGCACATCTGTAAAATTTACACTTGTTTTCTGCATCAATGGACCATCTCTCTGCTTCTCTCTTGTTCCTTTCATGATTGGTTTCATAATTAGGATAGAGGAGCTTTTATATGTGTTTCAGGGTGGAATTCAAAGCTGTATTGGATGATTGATGGACGGTTTAAGAGAATCCAATCTTCTAAAGTGGTAATTGTTTGGTTTCGTTATTGACGGGTGTCAAATGTTTCCGATGTTGCATCGAGCAGGCAGAGCTTAAATTCATTGAAGGCATACAACCCGCGTCTAAATACTGCAAAGAGTGAGTTACCGTCGCTTGTTCTGGACATTTTCGATGTTTAAAGTCGGGTTAATGTTTTGTAGGATCTTATATTCATATATGTGTTGCAGGGTCTCAGATTTGGTGGCGGCAAACTCTGACCCTTTAGTACCTGTGTAAGGATATTTCTGTCTGTAACTTCACCATTTCATCCCTAACTCTTCCTCTCGTGTTTCTTAAGATCGTTTTTGTTTTTAACCAATGGAACAACAGGCAAAGGAAGAGTCGAAGACCCTGCCGGTTCTGGAAATGGCTCTGGTAATCTAAATCTCTAATCCCAGTATCGAAATACTCTGTTTTTTAACAATGGAATCCAATCCACAAACGATACCTATACTATATATATATGCGTGTGTGTTGCAAGGATAAGGCTAATGCAAAGTTTGCATTACAGTAGCGGAATCCCGTGCTTGAACCTGTTGAGCTTCTTCTGTTGCTGTCAATCCGAGTGCTCGTGCCACCTGAGGCGGCCCGAGTGCTGCAGCCAACCAAAATGCTCGTGCCCTTCATGCCCCTCGGGCCCGGACTGTTGCCCGAAACCGAGCTGTGGCTCGTGCTCAAGAGGCTGTTCTTGTAGTTCTTGTTCAGACATGAAGCCATGCTGTTGCGTGCCCAGAAGATGCTGTTGCTTCAGTTGCCAATGGCTGTCGTGTCCGAATATCTCGTCATGTTGCAGATGCGAATGGAGATGGAGATGGAGACGGTCTTCTTGTTTTAGATGCCCAAAGACACGGCTTTGCTGTTGCGACTGTAGATATTTGTGCTCTAACCCTTGTTGCTTATTCTTCTAAGTGTGTCGAATAAAAGTTTTTCTCATCTTTTGTTTTCCCTTTCTGGGTTTTTTGTTTTGAAAATTTTGATGTCTTTTTAGTGCCGAAATGTAAATATATAATACATTTATTACGCATCCTATGGTGTGTTTGTGTAATAAACATCTAGGGATTGTACCGTACGGATGAATCTGAGATTTGATAGAGTCTTGTTTTGGATAGAGTTCTTTGATTGTTGGGGGCCCCTTTAGGATTCTGAGGGTGTTGTCTTTTCGAACTAAAAAATTAAGGGGTGAAAAAGGAAAATAGTGAAAATTCAGGGTGCAAAAAAGTGATGAAATTGTTAAAGAATAATTAGAATTGGAAAATATCTGATTTCAAATTAGATAAAGTATTTTGCATCTCAAATTCTCAGTAGGGAATGGGATGAATAAATTATCATGGCAATATTGAACGGACGTGATGCTATCTTTCTTGATCGGACGGTTATCCTTTACGGAGCGTTGTGTTGGCAAGTATAGGGCCTCCCTCACGCGATAATAACAATGGACTTGGAGATGAGAGCGCGGGAAAATCCCTAATCTAGAAAAGGGGAAATAGAAAAAACACATACATCAACATTAGTATTCGGAATTAGGTTGAGAGAGAGAGGAAGGGAGAGGGTTGAGAAATGGAGAGTAATACGACACACTTCGAAGACCTCGAGGGTGAAGACGATTTCCTCCTGGAACTAGCGGCTGCGGAAGCAGAAGCAGAAGCTGCGTCGGCCAAACGCTCTAGGGTTTCTATGCCTGAGGCGAAGCCTGGACCGGCGGACTCGGTGGTGGAGGGATCGTATATGGCGGCTCTAAGGGGCAGCAATAGCGAGCAATGGCAGATGAACCCTCTGAATCCCGGATTCAAACCTCGGCGTGTCACTGCTTCTGGTGGATTTAATCAATTTGACGGCGGACGTGTCTCGGTGAACTCTAACTTGGCCGGGAATTATGGTTCTGATGCAGGGGAGCAAGATTTTCTGGAGAAAAATTGCACCTGTGGAGTGGGTATTTGTCTGATTCTCACATCAAACACCCAGAAGAATCCGGGTCGCAAATTCTACAAGTGCCCCGTTAGAGAGGTTCTTCACGTTTAATGCTCTTTTTCTTCTTCGTCAGGTGTTGATCCTTACTTCTTATCGAAATTTTGGGTTCGTGAAACTGTTTTGTCATCTGGGTTTCGATGGTGGGTTTTCTGCTGCTTAGTTGTTCGCTGAAGTGTCAGTAAGAAAAATTCTTTCAGAGACAGGACATTGCTAGTTTGTTTATTGCTTATTACCAAACCTGTTTAATGGATATCCATTCTAAATAAGCTAGCATTTCTCCAGGAGAACGGAGGTTGTGGGTTTTTCCAATGGTGTGACGAGGATCGATCCTCTGGAACTCATGCAGGAACTCACAGCTATGCCAATTCAAATGACTCGAAGTTCCCGGATCATCAATGTCCCTGTGGCTCTGGATCCTGCCGCATTCTAACAGCAAAAACAGGACAAAACATCGGCCGTCAATTTTACCGCTGTCCTGCATTTGAGGTATGTCTGTAGTTCCATGACTCTGGGTTGCCATCGTATTATCATCAGCATAGTGATGCTTTGTAGTGTACCGCTGGTATATCGGATTAGATGTAGGAAGAGATTCTTTTATGTTTATGTTCCTGTTGTGTAAATCCTTGTTGCCTTGCTGGCTATTTTCACAAACTTTATCATTCCATTTCTCTGATCATTTTCTGACTGCTTTCCATTTTGCGTCATTTTTGCTTGCGGTGTAAGAGGATGTGGTCTAAGTTAGATAATCAGAACGATTTATTTTGACTTGCTTTATATGCAACACCTTCTAGACATTGGCTATTGTTCATCGATCAAGCAATTCTATGCCTTTCAAGGTATTATCAGATGTACTGAGGGTCTGAGAACAGCCTAACGGGTTACTTATATGTAATGTCTGCTTTTTGAAACCTCTTAGAACAGGGGATTGTCTGCTGGTAGACCAAGTATCACACCTGCATACACTGAACAAGATTGTAGTGTATTAAAAAGGGTAAAACGGTGTGTTAAACATAAACCTTCATAAGCTGGATAAAGATCGAGTTGCAGAGTTGTCGGTCATGGTAACTATATCGAGACCAATAACGTATAACATTGGTCTGAATTTTCTTCCAATATCATGTACTTTGGTTAAAAAGCAATTGTAATTATTGTATTATCTGAGTTTTGATTGTTTGTGTAAGAATGTCTGCTATTGTACATCGTTTTATGGAAACATTGGTGGCTTCTTCTTATCCGTAGGCCTCTTGTGGTTTCTTCAAGTGGTGCGATGACACATCCGTGGCTTCTTCAATGGAAAATAGTTTTGCCAAGACAAGAAACTTAAGTGAGTCAGATAGCAGAGACCACCAAAGTGCAAAAACAGGCACAGCTTGTTTCAAATGTGGAAAAGATGGACACTGGGCAAGAGACTGTACTGCTCAATCTGGTTATCCAGTGCCTGAAACAGGGCGAGGAAAGTCTTCCTCTTCAACTGGAGATTGCTACAAATGCGGAAAGCCGGGACATTGGGCAAGGGATTGCCCTTCCACTACCAGTCAGTTCAGTGGCGCACCGGGAAAAAGGCAGCGACAGTACTAGGTCAGCCCTTCGACTTTTGAATGATGGTTTTTATACGGAAAGGGTAGTTTTACTAGATATAGATATCTTAATGGCTGCTTGTTTTATTCTCTTGTCTAATTCCTTTTTAAAGCTTGTGTTGAATTAAGGAAGATTTCCGAAAGTAGGAGCTTTGAAACTTGGATTTTGATCTAGTCATCTGGAACCAAACTTGCAAGATTGGTCTAGTGATTTTATGAGGGCATGTCCCCAAAACATAGAGATCCTATTCTATGCTGAAGATAAAATGGAAGAGTGGCATAATAGAGCATCTCAAAGTGAATGTTTTCAGTATAAGCTTTGGGCATGCTTTGCAACTTTTGTACGTGATAGTGATGATGATGATGTCGATTATGATGATGATGTTGATGAGGACTAGACTCTCGGATCAGATTTGTGAACAAATTTTCTCCGGTTGTCAAGAGATGACGATGCGGAACTAAACTATCCCTTTTTTATATTCTAAAAAACTGAATATTTTTGGTAATGGAACTGAATCCTTATATAGTCAAAATCCGAGATTAAACTAAATGGATATAATTCTAGAACTGAAAAACGTAAAAAAAAAAAAACAAAAACCAAAATCGGAAATATGTAATCGTAGGTTTGTTTATCTAAGCAGTACAAAAATCCAATATAAATGTTTTTACCACAAAAAAATCAATTAAATAGATATAATATTTACAATGGGAAAAATAAGAAAATAAAATCAAAATAAAATCCAAAGTCAGATTTTTCTATGAAGTAAAAAGTCAAAATAAATTCTTCCAAAAAAAAAATCACGAATCGTTTTTTGGATGGATTTAACTTTCCCCTTAGGACACGTCATGGCTTATGAACATATATCCGTTGGGTTTGTTAGAATAAATCGGTAGACCCCAGATTTTGCTCATCATGTAACGCTTACACCAAGGCTTCGGAATCCATACCCCTTTTCCCTTCTCCATTTCTGGAAAGATATCAAAAACCACTTCCCTTTTTCCCCCTCATAAATAATAGATAAACATCCATTTCTGTGTTTATCCCCTTGATCCTTTCTCTCTCATTTGTCAGACACAAATCCCCCAAGTTCCCAAAAAAAAATAAAACAGGTGTTCTGAAGAAAGATGTCTGAATCCGAACCTGCTTCTCGGCGTCTCGTTTTCGCCTATTATGTAACTGGGCACGGATTTGGGCACGCCACTCGTGTTGTCGAGGTGCGTATGCGTTTACTTATTTGAGCATTTGTATACGCCAGTACGTACATGCATGATTGTATGCATATATGTTTGTGGATGAGACGGATATATTCGGTTCTTGCTTGCTTGAGACAGGATTTGGCATTTAGATAACAGATGATAACATTTTTTCGCAACCCTTGATTTGTATTCTCGTCTTAAGCAGAAATCTTTCAAAGGGTTTTAGCGTGCTTTGGATATGGATGTCAATAATGGGATTTGTTTTTTTTTCTTGTGAAAGTACAGGTGGTTCGCCATCTCATCTCGTCTGGACATCAAGTTCATGTCGTCTCTGCAGCTCCAGAATTTGTCTTCACCCTCGAAATCCAATCCCCGGATTTGTTCATTCGCAAGGTTGGTTTTCATTCCGTTTGATTTGTCCTGTAAATTCTCGAGACCACTTGGAATATGCTCGTAGATTCGGTGCCTGTTTTGTTGCACTCGGATCAATCATGAAAGCTGAAATCCTTTTCGTATTTAGTGGATTGATTTAGAGTAAACCATCAGTTTAGTTTTCGGTGAAATCGGACTCTGTTTATGCAAAATGACTTTGATTCATATCCCTCTTTCCATTGAAGCTTTGGAAATCTCCAAATGTATTCGGTTTCATTCTGTGCAAAAATCTCTATTTTTCAATATAATTTTCATTTTTCATGAAAAAAAGGACTTTGATTGTTTTTATGAACCCCTCTATGCTATTGTGTGCCGATAGGAAGAAGAAAAAGAGAGGATGTCTTTGTTGTTGTGTTCAGAATCATGGTGTTTCGGACTTTGGACTATTGAATAGAATCTGAATATCGTGTTTTGGTTCTTTTAGAATATTTCTTTCAATCGCCCAATTGTCTTTTCGTATATGAAGTTTGCTCGGCAATTCTTACATTCTCTGTGTAATAATGCAGGTGCTCTTGGACAGTGGATCAGTGCAAGCCGATGCTTTAACCGTTGATCGTCTTGCCTCTTTGGAAAAGGTATCTTTCTCGGTATCGGATATTTACTAATCTCTCTGCAATAAACTCACGGGATTTATCATCTCTTTCATTGCAGTATTCTCAGATCGCGGTTGAACCTCGAGACTCTATTTTGGCGGCAGAGGTTGAATGGTTGAAGTCCATCAAAGCCAACCTAGTGGTACTTCAATTACATACAGTGCTTTATTATTATTATTTTTTGTTAACTTCTATCCATGAAAAGTTTTCTCTGAAGTTGAATATTGTTTCCTCTAATTTCGCGTTAAAGACGGTCTTAGGTTAAAAATACATGTTTTTTTTCTTCTTATTCTTGTGATCAGGTCTCGGATGTTGTCCCTATCGCATGCCGTGCAGCAGCAGATGCTGGAATCCGTTCTGTTTGTGTCACCAACTTTAGGTGTGTTTCCTCGTAAAACACCATAAGGAAACAATGAAAGTTAGCATTCAGATATCGGCTAATACATTCATACACACATAACAATGGAAAGTTTAGTGGTTATCTTAGGTTTTGTACTTCAGAAGTGTGTTTGGTTTCTGAAGCATGCAGTTTGAAGCTAAGCTTGACTGCCGAGTTCTTATTAACTTCGATAATCTCTTGTCTTTCCTATATAATTCCCATGCCAATCATCCAAAAACCCACAAAGGAATGACCTCTAAGACGGGCTGTTGCTTGTAAATTTGTTCTAAAAATGATTCTGCATTCTTGATGGTGTATGTCATTACTTGATAAACCGGGTTTACTCCCTCTGTTGCAGCTGGGACTTTATCTATGCAGAGTATGTGATGGCAGCAGGACATCATCATCGATCCATAGTATGGCAGGTAAAATACCCTCACGATGTTGCTATATAGTATGTGCCGAAAGACAGTTTCAAATGTTGTGAAATTCCTGGTCTTCGAGTTCGAGCTATAACCCTTTTTCCTGAACTTGTCTATTCATGTTACACATAATGGTATCCCCTATATTCCCTATAGTTTGAACCCGAAATGTCATATATGCATACCTCTTCTCAGCTTTTTATTTTTCCATCAAGAAGAATTTCTCCGGCTAATATTATGTCAGAACCATTGTTCTATCTCATGGCCTCTATATATATATATATAGGTGAGAGTCGGATTTTTAACATACCTGTGTATAGATTTCACTCGTGGTAATTATGCGTGAATGCTGCAGATAGCCGAGGATTATTCGCACTGCGAGTTTCTGATACGGCTGCCTGGACACTGTCCTAGTAAGTCACTGAAGGCATTGCCACTGTTTTCACTTGTATTTTATTTAACTTAATGAGTTCTATATAATGCATTACTCTCTCGATCTTTCAGTGCCGGCTTTTCATGATGTCATTGATATCCCCCTCGTCGTAAGGAAATTTCGCAAGACCAGACAAGAGGTGGGTTTCGTAGAAAATTTCTAAAACCCTTCAGTTCTTTCTTCCACGAACGAAAATGGCGGGAACCAGTTTGCATTTCGGTGCAGGTCAGACGAGATCTTGGGATTCCAGACAATGTGAAACTACTAATCTTCAACTTTGGTGGGCAGGTAAGCAGAGTTTTGTTTAATTTTTTTGGACCGTTTCTCAAAAGAGTCAAAACTTACTGCAGAAATTGGTGGTTTTGGTTCAGTTTATGTTTCTGTTTTCACATCCGCAGCGATGATTTATATGTTATTCTTCAATCTGTCAGCCATAGCTTCATTTTCTTGTTCTCCTTCCATTCGTCTTTCTGAGAACCAAAGCTTCTCGATTTCTTGTTTTCTTGAGTACCTGCAACATCTGTTCTGTCAATGGCATATCGTTTACGGTATTTCTGATTTTCTGCAGCCAACTGGATGGACATTAAAGGAGGAGTATTTACCGGCTGGTTGGTTATGTCTGGTAACATACAAATACCTGATTGTGCCTAAGTTATATATATTTCTCCGTAGTTATGAACGTAAAACATATTTTCCTATGTTTTTTCGGGTATAGGTCTGTGGAGCTTCCGAGAATCAGAAGCTCCCTCCAAATTTTATTGCACTACCAAAGAATACTTATACACCTGATGCGATTTCAGCTTCAGACTGCATGCTCGGTATCGTACAATATCCATATACTATTTTTAACGACACACGAGGTTATTATGTACCTAATACACGGGTTTATGCTTTCGTTTCCTCAGGAAAAATTGGATATGGAACTGTCAGTGAAGCTCTTGCATACAAATTACCCTTCATATTTGTGCGAAGGGACTATTTCAATGAAGAACCGTTCCTAAGACAGATGCTCGAGGTAAATTCTGAAAAAATCCGTGCTCATATCTCCCCGCCCGCTCTCTGTTTCTTTTTTTTTTTTAATTTACTGTTCTTTTTTGTTTCGCTTTCAGCACTACGAAGGAGGAGTTGAAATGATAAGGAGGGATCTACTGACTGGATGCTGGGCACCGTATCTTGAACGTGCAGTTACGTTGAAACCGTGTTATGACGGAGGCATCAATGGCGGTGAGGTATAACTCAAAGCTTTCACTATTCGCTATCTCTTCTCAGTGTCCTAATATCGAGTTTCCCTTTCTCTTGTTTCTGAAATATTCGGAGAAATCCAAGATTTTGTAAAGCTTATAGGTTGCCATTTGATTTTCTTTTCCGATTTCAGGTGGCAGCGAAAATACTTCAGGATACCGCACGGGGGAAAAAACGTTTGAATCTCAACGTGAGTGATACAAGTTCTCTGAATATCAAACAGTTTGGATTGCTTAACATATATCAATGTTCATTTTTGCAAAAGTTAGCTCGGGTTTCGGTTTATACTGAGTAAGCATAATATGTGATTTGCATAAAGAATGGAAATAACAAAAGAGCATTCCAACGTCTTCTCCATGGCCGCAAGAATCTCTGTCTGCTTCTGCAGTTATTTCTTCACGTTATGGCCTACCAGAATGGCAGAATCAATTACAAGAAAATATGTCGTTTCTTCATTCTTGTAGTCTGTTTCATGATTTCTTCGATCTCTTTTGGTATATATATACACATACGCCATACCTTGGGTTATGAATTTGTGTTTTTTGCTGTACCATTTCTATATAATGTCGGTTGTCACCTGACAGAAAGGATGATATATATGCAGCTTAGTGGAGCAAGAAGGTTACGGGATGCAATCATACTCGGCTTCCAGCTTCAGAGAGCACCCGGTAGAGATATTTCTGTTCCAGAATGGTACCAAGTTGCTGAAAACGAAGCCGGGATGGCTCGGGATGATCAGACGCAGAAAACCACCAAGTCTGTTTTTTCACCGTCTTTATTTTCTCCTGGCTGAAATACCGTTTCCATCCCTCATTCGTTGGGGCAAACTTGGTTCTCTCGGCATCTCTGTCTTGTCTCACCACATGCAATTTCGGGTTTTTATGATTTAGCAGATCGGTAGAAGGCTTCGAGATTGTTCAGGGAGACCACCAAGGCCTTTCTGATACGATCAGCTTCTTGAACAGCTTAGCAGAACTAGGTAACGTAGGTGGCGCCCCCGAGCGTCAGGCAAGGGAAAATTTGGCGGCTGCAAGGTTATTTAACTGGGAGGTTTGTCAAAATGTTCAACATTTTTTGTCTGAGTTCGTGTTTTTTTAGGACAAAAACTAACAAAAAAATCGACATTTTTTTACCATCAGGACGATATATTCGTGGCAAGAGCCCCGGGTAGGCTTGATGTAATGGGAGGGATTGCTGATTATTCGGGAAGTCTTGTTCTTCAGGTCATTCATTTCCTCTTGGACCCTTGTTATCGCGATGAAAACAATATGGATTCATCTTTTCGGTTATCTAGATTTTTCGGACGAGTGAAAAGTCGCCTTTTTTTGCAGATGCCAACTAGAGAGGCATGTCATGCCGCTGTTCAGAGGAATCATCCGAGTAAACAGAAACTCTGGAAGCACGCTGAGGCTCGGCGCCACGCAAGAGATTCGCCGATTCTTGAAATCGTACGTTTTTTTGCTTTGTTCTGCTTCATGTTGTTCAGACATGATATGACATGGCATGCATTGTCATCTAAACTTCGACCTCAGGTTTCGTTTGGATCCGAGCTGAGCAACAGAGGGCCAACATTCGACATGGACCTGTCGGATTTCATGGAAGATGGAAAACCAATATCCTACGAGAAAGCCTGCCAATACTTTTCCCGGGATCCATCTCAGAAGTTTGTAGATCATTTCCATATTCAGACCGTTTCATTCGCATAAAACATTGATCACTAGTTACGATACGATTCCTTCATTTTTTTTTCAGGTGGGCGGCTTATGTTGCGGGTACCATTCTCGTACTAATGAGAGAACTGGGTGTTCGGTTTGAAGACAGTATTAGTATACTGGTAACGTTCATTTACTTTTACATGTTAAACGAAATGAAATTCCGAACTGATAACGATGTAAGAAGGGCCGATGAGAATTCGCTGTTGTGAAATCTTTCTAACATGTTTTTCAGGTTTCTTCAACGGTTCCAGAAGGGAAAGGAGTATCGTCCTCTGCCTCGGTTGAAGTTGCAACCATGTCAGCTGTTGCTGCTGCTCATTGTTAGTACCGCCTTTTGTGAAACCGAATTCTTACGCATAAAGGGTTGAACAAAAAACTATTCAATCATTTATCCATTCCCGAGATGAACGTGATTCTTTTCCGAATCTGCAGGTCTGGAAATTTCTCCTCGCGATGTGGCTTTGCTTTGCCAAAAGGTGACAACTTTTATTCAAAGTTTTTAATTTTTTTTCTTCGGATTCCGTTAAAACTTTGCGTAAACCCTTCTTACGAATCATAGGTCGAGAACTACGTCGTTGGAGCACCGTGTGGAGTGATGGATCAAATGGCTTCCGCTTGTGGAGAAGCTAACAAACTTCTTGCAATGATATGTCAGCCTGCCGAGATACTCGGACTCGTCGAAATACCTCCTCATATACGATTTTGGGGCATCGATTCCGGAATACGACACAGGTAAAATCATCTCCGTAATGGTTGAAATATTTTTGTCATAGTCTGCATTGGTCCTAAGACTCAAGCTTATGTTTTTTTTACTGCAGTGTCGGTGGTTCAGATTACGGTTCTGTAAGGATAGGCACTTTTATCGGCAGAACGCTCATAAAGTCTGTTGCCTCGGGATTGTCTTCACGTTCTTCTCCGCAATTTAACTCGGAAGAGATTGAGGAAGAGAGCTTGGGGTTAATTGAAGCTGAGGCATCCTTGGATTACTTATGCAACCTCCCTCCTCATAGGTACATTCTCAGTTTTTGTGTCTTGTCTGAACATTTAACCGATTGAAACACAATGTTTCTAACTGCAAGCAAAGTAGGAATCTAATAACGGTTTCGAAATGAATCTAGAAATTTCTGTTTCGTGATTTTGTCAGCGACGGTCGTAGAAGTAGCGGTCTACTTCTTTAGACTGGCATACCCTCCTGTGACAGCGAAATATCGAAAATATGAGAAACAACGATGAGATATCTCGAAATTTTGTTACGGTTTCGCAGATATGAAGCCCTCTATTCAAGCAAGATCCCGGGAAATATGACGGGAGAAGAGTTCATCGAGAAGTACGGGGATCACGGGGATTCAGTCACTACCATAGACAGAAAAACCACGTATGAGATCAGTGCAGCCACCCGACATCCGATTTACGAGAATTTCCGCGTTCAGGTGAGCTAACTCTGTGCGTCATGATTTCATCGCTTTTTATGCTCGGCTATTAGCTCTTCTCCATAGCCAGAGGTGTCATACTACATCCACCCCTCTGTAACTCACAAGAAAAACATTAACTCGGATCTAAAGATTGAGTTTTACGCTTCTGGCTATGTTTTCAGGCTTTCAAAGCATTGTTGAGTGCAGCTCCGTCAGAGGAGCAGATCATCGGTCTTGGGGAAATGATGTATCAGGTAATACAACTGCGGATACCGTATGAGTTCTTAGGTTTTAAACCCCGAAATGCGATATTCTAATACCCGTTTTTTCGGGTGAAACTGCATGGCAGTGTCATTACAGTTACAGCGCGTGCGGGTTAGGCTCGGATGGGACGGATAGACTGGTCAGACTGGTGCAGAATATGCAGCATTCTAAGGTGTCGAGATCTGAGAACGGGACTCTATACGGGGCCAAGATCACGGGAGGCGGCAGCGGAGGCACGGTCTGCGTAATCGGAAGGAACAGCTTGAGAAGCAGTGAACACATTCTACAGGTAAAAGAATAAACCCTCCTTAATGCTCATACTCATATCATATGCTTGAACTTGTTCAGACAACGGTTGCAGTTCTAGAGTTTAAAAGAAAAGTCCGAATTTTGGGTACCGGCCCGATCCACGGGTTAGGTATCGAAATTTGGGTATACAATGAAATAAGATCGGGTTTAGTCATGGGGAAAACCCAAAAATCGGGTTTGGGTTCGTGCAATTGGATCTGAAAAGTTCGGATACCCAATATGAGCTAACCCCTAATATATGATATATAAAATCGAAATTTGTATTTGGGTCTCGGATTTGTGCATCCGAAAGTCGGATACCCAACAAAAATGGATCCGAGATCGAATAATATCGCATGAAACCCAAAATATTCGGGTTTGGATTCGGATAACCCGAAAATCCCGGTATCCGGATCTTGTCTTAACGAATCAGACACAAGAACATGGAAAAGATGGGTTATGATCATTGGAAAGGAACAGATGAAGATGTTTTTGTGTGAAACGGAGCAGATACAGAAGAAGTACAGGGAGGCGACAGGGTTCATGCCGTACGTGTTCGAGGGTTCTTCTCCAGGCGCCGGCAAGTTTGGATACCTCAAGATTCGCAAGATCTCTTCTTAAATATTCCCTCTCTTTCCAACTTTGATCTCTAATGTTTTTTTCTTTCTATGGTTCAGATTTCTTACATTTTTTTTTGTTCTTGTCCGGAGATGTATGTTTTATCATCCTCTTCCTTCCACCATTTAAAAATATATATATATATTGTTATTGTTATTATTAACATTCATTGAATGAAAAATAAAACAAAAGATGTGTCGTTGTGACAATTGATATGAACAATAACATATATATACATATATATATATATATATATATATATTGTTTTTTCGACAAATTAGATGGAAACGGATAATGGGTTTATTTCAAAATTGAACATGAAGGGAATATTAGCATAGATAAATCTTATCAGGAAAAAAGAATGCTTTTTAAAATACACGCGCGATGTTGTCATTAGTGTCGGAATTTTACGAAATGGGTTCTTCCCTAGATTGCGTTGAGGGACTACAAAAATAGAAAAGCGATGTTTGGATTCCGGTTTGGGTTCGGGTTAGATTTCAATTTTGGGTTATTCGGCACCAAGAGAAAAAAGACCAAAATCAATTTGGTTTGGTTATGTTCTGGTTGTATCGAATTGAAAATTTCAAACCGAGTTAGACCGCATTTGGATTAGGTGCAATTCAGTTCGGTTTGAATACATCCAAAAACCGAAACCGAACCGAAAGTTTGGCAGTCGTTTCTTGTAAGAGATTTCTAGCCTCAGAATGCTACAATTTTCATGTGTCGACACAAACAATCTCTCAAGCGTTAAGTTCTTCTGTTGCTGCCTGTCTGAAGCAGAAGAGATGAGTAGATGAGATGGTTCCAGGCGTCGGGAACTCCGGGGAGGCACCAGTGGCTGCAGTCTTGTCGCTTCGTCGAGACCTTTTTCCCGTCCGTGTTGGTCTTCCCGTAGATCGACGGATGCCCGTCTTTGCGGAAATTCGTAAGCTTTGTCACGTTCAGAAGAATCACCGGAACTTTCATTTCCTTTACTGCCTCCTCTACTATCTTCATCTTCAACGGGTATGAATCAAGGATCGAACCTTTGAATACCGGCTCGACTTCTCCGTTGCACGACCCTCCTGAATCCCACTCGCCACCCCTGTTTTCCGAAATTATTGATCGACCGACGAAGGAAGAGTACGATACTTTCTTTGAGATGACGATGAAAGATCTCGGGGGTTTACCTGAAATGGGCGGAAGAATATCCTCGGTAGAATACTAACTTCTTGTCGGGTTTCACGTTCTTGTCAATCCACTTCGCCCATGTCCTCAATGCTCTCCTGTATGCTTCGGTTGCATCGAATTTCGGGTATATGTAGTCACCTTCTTTGTAGTAATTCTTCCTGCAATATTTTTCCATCCGGATCACATTAATTGAGCAAAACATGTTCACCTAAATCTAGAAAACATTAACTGAAGGATGCAATGTTATTTTCCTGTACCAGAATCCAAAATTTCGAGTACCCGTGAGTTAGATATTAGAAATTTCGGGTAAAAACCCGACTTTCAGGTTCAAATTCGGGTTCTGGTCGGTGATTACCTGTATTCTCGAGATGGGGAGAGGGAGAGAGCGCGAGACTTAGGGCGATTAGATTTTTTCTTATCAGAAATTTAGGGTAATTTCGCGAGATGGACGAGGGTGAGCGGTGATTAGGGTTTTCGGTTCGCCCTCGCCTTGTCCTCACGAAACCGAAATCGAATAATCAGATCATGTACACCCAAAAACTCGGGTACTGGAAAATTTCTGACAGACAGAAGAAGAGGAAGGAAAGAGTTATGGTGAAAAAACAGAACAAGGACCATACCCTCTCGCTGTCTTTCCATGAACCCACCAATGTCCAGTGTTGAAGACGAGAATGTCGGCTCGTTTCCACCGAGCATTTGTCTTATCGATCTGATCGATCGATAGCGTCGGATTCGAACTTCCTTGGGCGTTGATTCTGACTCCTTCCTTCACGAGAAAATGCGACCTTACAAATTCTACCGTGCAGTTATAGTCCTGTCAAATATCACAATACAAGTTACAACACATTTTCAGAAAAGATTACAGCATCAATGATCAGATTTCCACAGGAAATGATGGGAAGAAGAGTGGGATTTACTTCAAACTTGAATACATAGTAACCTCTTCCCTTTGTGATCTTATGACCATTAACCTCGTACATGCTGCTTTTGTTGGATAGACCCTCTCGAAGAACACACAGCATCGATTCAAACTGGTTTCTGTTCATCGAATCTCCAACCAGCATCAGCCTTTTACCTCTTAGCCTCGCCAAGAAATCTGTAGCATTAAACCTGTGATCGGAAAAAAAGAACAATCAATGGTAGAACTGAAGTATATTCTAGAAAGAATGATGAACGGAAATCGAATAATGACAGCACCCGAGTTCAGAGATCGAACAACCGAATCCTTGTATAAATTGTAAAACAGCGTGAGCCCGAACTATTACACCTGATTCAAAAACTTAGCTGGTAGAAAGCTATACGATAGCACCCGAGTTTCGGAATATATCAATTCAAAGCTATGGTTTTTCAGCAGCAGAAAGCATATGTCATCCACAAGACTGAAACTTGATCATTCATTGGATCAAAGTTGTTCTTGAATCGATGATTCGACCACAGGCATACTCAAGATTTACCGAGTTTTCGACCTAAAGATTGGAGAATAAGCAAAGAGACGAGAAGAATGAGAAGGAAATGAGACCAATGCACGGCCATTTCTCCCTTCTCCAATCATTCAAACACTGTTTTCTCGACAGTGAAACCAACCAGATTAGCCTACATTCTATCTAAGTGCATCAATGGCGTTGGAACTGAAACGAAGTAGACAAGATGACGAAGTTGGGTAAGCATTATACCGTACAGCAATGGTATTCCAAACACTGTATTCACGACAATGAAACCAACCAGGTTCTTCTGCATTCTATATCTAAGTCCATCAATGGCTTTGAAACTTGAAACTGAAACGAAGTAGAGAAGATGAGAAAGTTGGGTAAGAATCGTACCGTGGAAGATCACAATCGTCGGGTTTCCATCGCCATTGGAGATAGTCTGAATCTCGCCTCCCGTTCCTCTGGCAATCGAAAGCTTCGTCGACATACGGACACGATCCAGGTTGATACAACGGATACTGATCGTCCTTCACCCACGTTCCCTTGTACAGATCGCACCCTCTCATCTTCTCCACCACCTCCATATCCACAGATTTGGCATCGCTTTCCTCCTTACCCTCGACCGAGACTTCGCCGCCGCGAGATTCTCCTCCCTCCGTCTCCGGTTTCACGGCGAAGTCATCCGTCGCGCGCGAATCTCCTCCGTCGCCTGATTCGGCTTCCACGGCGGAGCCATCGCCGTTCGAATCACCTCCCTCCTCCGTCTCTGGTTTCACGCCGACGTCATCGCCGGCGCGCGAATCTCTTCTGGAGCTTGGCTCACTTGCGAGGGAGACGCCATCCCCTCCATCCGGAGGCTCATCGGAGGGATTTTCGGAGCGGAGGAGAGTGGGAGCGCGTGGATCGGAAGGGAGGTAGGGTTCGAGAGAGCGTCTGGTGAAGAGGAAGACGCTGCAGAGGAAGAGAAGGATGAATAGAGAAGTAGTCAGAGTGTAGGAGAAGATAGAAGAACGAGAGGAAGGAGAAGATCCCGCCATTGCGCTTCCACCATTGGAGCTACACAGTAATCGCCACGACAAAGAAGAAGGCAGAAGGGAAAACGATTAATTAGATACGGACAAGAACAGTTATCTTTAATGACATTTCTTACTTATTTGAGACACGACCGTTTAACTCCATTTATGATTTATTAAAACTATTATTTTTTTTCAACGTGTAATCAAAATACTTTATTTCCCTTCCTCA